GCTGCTAGATTTGGGCGATGGCTTAGTTAGGTGACCCTCTATTAAATACCATCAAAATCTCATCAATCTCGATTTGGGTGGACGCTGCCTTTAAGGGTAGTTCGCATACAACATTGCATTGACGAACAAGTGCATAAAAAATGAACGCTTTTGAGTACGATAGCATACTTCATTCTGATACAAGAGGTGCAGAAAATAAATTCTTCATACCACAGTCCTTACAGCGAACTATTTTCGTTTCATGTCAAATCAAATTATGACTTAGTTTTGTGGGCTTCAATCCGGTTTCAAAATGTATTTTGTTTCATCAGTGAAAAAGAAAAATTCACCGTTGCTTTGGATCTGCCACTTCGCAACACCTGTAGCGTTAAGTTGACGAATAAAGCAGCTACTTGAACAATTGCTTGGCATTCGTATGTTTCTAAATACCAGATGAGGTCATCATTCCATCATTCAATTAAGAATTATGTTAAGGCAAGATGGTAATTCAAATTGATATCAGGCAATTCGCATCTCGCTGAACTTCGGTTCAATCAACAAACTATGTGATAACTAAGTAAACAAGCTATGTAAAAGCTCTATAGAAACGTAAGCTTAAATAAAGTGTGTGATTATCATCCTGCTGTAGTTCAAAATATTTTAAAAAATCCATATATTCTTTCCCTAACCTTTAAAATCCTTACCTTTCAAATGGCTCCACCACTTTCACTGTAGATGTGCCCTTTCCTATGCGCAATTGTACATGGCATACCGTGGATTTTCTTGGATTTCCTTGATCAGATGCGATTATGGACAATCGGACATCAGTGGGATCGGTTTCTGTAAGCGCACGCCGCAATTGCACATCTCCTGAATTCACAAAATCAAAGGTAAAATATGAAAATGAAAAGGCAACCCGGATTTATGACTCACCATTGCTCTTCACAACAAATAGCTGATGTGCTTGTTGACTACGGTAGATTACTGTGCCGTTCGGACCATTGTCCGGGTCGGTGATTACGATAGTGCCTACAGTCGTAGCCGGAGCCGAATCAGCTGGTACTAGCATTGTCGCAACGGAATTGCATGCGGGAGCGTTGTCATTGATGTCCGAGATGTGAACTCGAACAGGAACGGAGGAAGAAAGTGGTGGCTGAAGAAAAAGTTTGGAAAAAATGAGGTTGTTCAGATATCAATTACGGCAAAAATATTTTTTTGACATTATGATATAAGAATACATTAATGCTTGAAGTTTCGTAAAAGGAAAATTTATCTCACTTTGCCTTGGTCCTGAGCAGTCACTGTGAGATCGTAAACATTTCGGACCTCCCTGTCAATATTTTCATTCACATATATGACACCAGTCTTCTCATCGATGCCAAAGGCCTGGAAAACAGCCAGGTAAAAGTTGAGATATTTTACCATATTATTATAGCCACATTCGGAGATGCCGCGCCAGCGACGTGCCAGAATGTTGCAATCAATACGAGATGAG